CCAATTTCGTTGTGTTTCGTTGTGTTGTGCCAATTTCGTTGTGTTGCGACTTGTTTTTGTTGTGTTGTGCCAATTTCGTTGTGTTTCGTTGTGTTGTGCCAATTTCGTTGTGTTGCGACTTGTTTTTGTTGTGTTGTGCCAATTTCGTTGTGTTGCGGCTGGTTTCCATTGTGTTGTGCCAATTTTGTTGTGTTGCGGCTTGTTTTTGTTGTGTTGTGCTAATTTCGCTGTTGTGGCTTGTTTCCGTTGTATTGTGACATGTTTCCATTGTGTTGTGCTAATTTCGCTGTTGTGGCTTTTTCCATTGTGTTGTGCTAATTTCGTTGTGTTGCAGCTTGTTTTCGTTGTGTTGTGTACTACTGGGCCACTGTAAAAAAAAATAAACTGCTGGGCATTTATGAATAATACAGTAATATGACACACCTGTTCAGCCACGTCAGTAATAAAATCATCAGAAGAGCGACACCAACCAGCCCTCCTCCAATATACACATACAGCATGTGATGAAGACCCCTAAAATCTGAAATAAGGGATAAACAGCCATTAAACTTCAGCTAAATCAAATATTTAAGTCTCCAAAAGTAAGGAAAAAATGTATGAACAATTTATGATCTGAGCTGCAGCAGGACAGTGTTTTAACTTGTGTTGTACTTCTCAAAATAAAACAGTATGAAGAGTATGAAAAAAAGTAATAGTTTGGCATAACTAGTTCTTCAAAAATAGATACTAACTATCCAGAATCAAAATTAAGAACCTTGAATGCAAAATGACAATTTTTGGGATTTTTAAAAAATAATAAAATCATTTAATTTCTTGATTTTTCATGCTTCTTATATACATTAAATCTTGTTTGATAGCCTAAGCAATGTATTTTACATGTTGTTGGTCATAGGTTCAGAAAAAAAAAACATTTTTGTATCAAAAGTACAGTTACATTTACCCTGGTTCGGTCCGTTATTACAGATACAATGACCAAAAGAAAACTGCATTGTTTGAAAGCAATTTTGACAAACAATTAAAAAAATTCAATATATTTCCAGGATTTATTTATTTTACCCAAGTAAAAGAAAAGGCGTATGTGCCGAAATAAAATTGCTGGTGTGGCTTTTCTGTAACCATGTACATTTTTATTGAAATTGCAGCAGAAGAACCTTATAATGCTAACCATTAATGGTTATTATTTTGCACCCTTATAGAACTAAACTAACAAAAATGATGCAACCAACAACCACAAGTACAAACCAAAGTTACTTTCAATGTAACCACATATTCTCATTCCTTTTTGAAAGGATTATAACAAATCAAAAATCAGTTATTTCAGACTACTTCTTTAAAATGTATAGGATCAAACTGATTTATGTATCCCCCAATTGTAAGTCGCTTTGGATAAAAGCGTCTGCTAAATGACTAAATGTAAATGTCTAAATGTAATTCACCCTATCAGCACTGAAAGTCAATTCAATTCATATGGAAACAGGAACACTGTTTATCATGCTAAAGAACCGCCATTCATGCTTACGTCCTTTGATATATACATAAATTAAGAACAAATAGGCTATGGTTTAAATGTTTTTATATATATATATATAAGCAACAGTGTCTACCTTTGCTAAAAAAATTACCTTTTAGATAACAGAGCTGCATCATGAGTACCAAGAAGTACCAGTAATCCTTTTGTACTGCCACCATCTTGCTCCTCTGAGACAGAATGAATACAGCATTGACGAGGACTGAGGCGACCTCAGCACTTTCTGTGTTCAGCTGCAAGACTCTGCAATCACATCCTCAACCAGCAGATAAACACTGTTAGAGAGGAGGTGTTAAGATCACCAAACAAGAATTCTACCCCACACACGGTTTTTTTTTTGTTCACCTGAAACTGAAAGAGCGGACTTGAAACCAATCTCTGAATTCCCCTATGATAAAATAAAAAGAATACAAAGGAAAGGAAAAATCATGACCTTATGTAATTCATCCAGAAAGTGCTAGTACCCAAAAATAGTTTTTTACAGTGCATTTGATCATTTTTTACAGTTGGAGAATGGAGAGGCGTCTACTGTAAAACCAGCTCATTTATTGATTTGCTACAAAACAAAACACATATACAAAATTCATTTTGTACCAAAACATACATAAGCATTCACATTATTAGGTGACTTTCATGATCTCAGACAGGCACTTAGGAGCTGAAGATGTGTGTGAGATTTCTTAGGCACTTTAGAAGATAGACGTTCAGGGGTTTGTCACTTGTCTGCTCTTCATCTGTATGAATAAACAAACAAACAAACAAAGACAATTACCTCAAATTCTCAGGAAAGATCCAGTCCTGATGCATCTACTGCTGTAGTATCATCAGAGAGTAAAAATGAGAGGCTCTACGGTGATCAAACTGAATATATTCCCACCTTTCCTGGCAGACATGTATGCCTCTTCGACTTTCAGTCTGATGGAAGGACACTTCAAAGTGGCCTTTGCCTTTGTAAGAGGAGATATGCAGGATGAGAAGATAAAGGTAATTTGGACTCGCATGTAATTTGTGTTTATAAAATGATCATGAATCCTACATTGATGCCAAAGAACTATTGACTGACTCTAGTAGTACTATTCAATATTTTTTCCCAATATTTCATTATTCAAGTTGTCATAATGTCATTATATAATAACAAGATGCCATTGAATAAAAGCCGTTACCTTCTGATTGTTGTGCAACAGAGCCCAAAGCGCAGAAGCTCCTATGGTACGTATTTCTGATGAGCTACTGCCCAAACAAGATATTAGCAGCTCAACAGCTTTATCTGAAATATATATTTAGATAAAATTTAATATTTATGCGTTTATGTATTTATATGTAACACTTAGTAAAACTATCTCTCACACACACAAAAATGACAGTTTTATAACAATTTTATATATAAAATGATTATAGCAATTCTTTTAAGTAATAAAAAATTTAATTTCTTAGTAGTATGTATTTGCTGCTTCATGTGCATATTCACATCATGTCAAGACAAACATCTTATTTCCTTCACTTTCTATAAAAAAGGAATTGGGCGGAAACATTGGTTTGATGTGTAGCTAGACTCAAATGCTGGGTGTGGTGGATCATTTTTACACTTGCAGAGTCAAATTGATCTTTAAAGACTAGAATCTATATCACAGACCTACCAATATATATATATATAACATTTAGAAATGCAATACATTTTTTGTTGCTATTGATGTTTTTTGGCTATTTTGTTAAAGGGATAGTTCACCCCAAAAAAATTTGTCATTAATTACTCTCCCTCATGTCGTTCCAAACTTGTAAGACCTTCGTTCATCTTCAGAACACAAATTAAGATATTTTTGATGAAATCGAGAGCTGTCTGACTCTGCATAGACTGCAACGCAACTGAAAAGTTCAAGGCCCAGAAAGGTAGTAAGGACATCATTAAACAGTAATCAGTGGTTCAAACGTTATGTAATGAAGCTACGAGAAAACCCCACTTTATTCAACAATTTCTTCTCTTCCATGTCAGTCTCCGCCACACTTTCACAACAGTACCATGACGCATATGTTCTGTGCACACAAAGAATTCTCATACCTACTTAAAATTACGGTTGAACCACTGATGTCACATGGTCTATTTTAACAATGTCCTTACTACCTTTCTGGGCAAAAATATCTTAAATTTGTGTTCCGAAGATGAACAAAGGTCTTATAGGTTTGGAATGACATGAGCATGAGTAATTAATGACAGAATTTTCATTTTCTGGGTGAATTATCCCTTTAACCATGCCCACTGAGCCTTATTAGATATTGGCATCATCCACTCAAAGGGGAACATATTGGTCAACCATTAACATGTAAAACCCTGTAAATCCAGCGCTCATACCATTGGCTAAGACTTTGGGCTTGTTAGCGGAGCAGAAGCAGATGTTGTGGAGAATAAGCAGGATGGTGGGTTTAGAGCTGGAGTGTTTGGACTGGGCCAGTCCGACCAGCAGCTCCAAAGCCCCTCGGAGCCTGAGGATCATCTGCTGTCCGTCCTCCCCAAACGACACGTTCAGCAGCAGCTTGAGCCAGAGGAACAGAGGCTCTGCCGCCGGACTGCCGCTTCGACCACATGCCTTAGGCATAGGGAGAGACAGGAAGTGCTGCAGGAAGTTACTCTAGGGAAAACGGCAAGAAAGAAGGTTTTGATAACACTTCTCTATGAAACAAAAAAGCGGATATGCAACCAAATGAGTCATAAAAGGTTTTCTTGCTGGAGAGCAGAATTATTTAGCTATATTTACTTTATATTTATAGCCTGAAGTGTCTCACAAGGTTATATTTCTTCCTGCCCTGAATTATTTTTTGCTTTAAACATAACCAGTGAGTTACCTTCAGCAGTACCCCTCTACAGTCCCTTGAGATGGCCAAGTTGGCCAGCAGTGAGAAAGCCAGACTGTGGATGCTGCTGTTGTCAGGGGCAACCTGGGAGGCCAGTTTCATCACCCCATGCATCAGTGAATTTGTGACCGCAGTCTTGGGAAGAACAGCTTGAACTGAGCCAGAGCTACCACTGCTGCTGCTGCTACATAAAGCACTGCATGCTGGAAGAGAACAAAAGAGAGACAGAGCGAAAGAGAGAGAACTTGATTATGGAAAAAAACTAGAACGTATACAAAGAGTTGCAAGAAACTAAGCAACTGTGTCTCAGAAAGATAAAATCACAGTGTTAAGAAAACAAAACTGTTAATCAGTGTTTCTTATCTGTGAAGGGCACCTTCCCAAACCCTGAAATGGGGCCAAACACCTTGCATAACAAAACAATTGTAGCTTTAAACAAACATTTCACTCATTATTAATATACTAGTAATTATTAATAAATACTATATACACATACACTGAATATGTATACATTCCACAGGAAAAGTCAGGGGTCAGTAAGATTTTTTTTTTTGTTGTAATTATGAAAATATTTAAATTTAAACATTTACAATCTAAAATTATATATGTATATATGTATATATATATATATATTTTTTTTTTTATAAATACTGTTCTTTAGAAAATTATATTTATTAAAGAATCCAGAATTTTTTTTTACCACAAAAATATTAAGCAGCACAATTGAACAATGATAATAATAAATGTTTCTTGAGCAGCAAATCAGAGTACTAGAATGATTTCTAATGGATCATATGACACTGAAGACTGGAGTAATGACTGCTGAAAATTCAGCTTTGCATCACAGGAATAAAGTATTATAAAATATAGCTAAATAGAAAACAGCCATTTTAAATAGAAATATTTCACAATATTATAGCTTTTACTGTGTTTTTGATCAAATGAATGCAGTCTTGGTGAACATTAGTGACTATTTAATTTCTACGAAAATCTTACAGATTTCAAACTTATGAATGGTTCTTTCTTTTTTTTTCCCCCGTGGTGCTGCAAAAGTGCTACATGAAACATTGCCAGCGATATAAAACCACACAAGCCTTTTTTTTTGCTAATCTATTCATCTTGTCTCAAAATACCACTGCACAGTTGTGTAACAATGAGCGTGGAAACTCAATGGAAACAGAATTATTCCACTGTGTTTAACTCTATTAAAAAAAAACATTTCCTCCTGGTCTAACAATGCTGCATTTAGTCAAGTGTCAAAACCACTAAATGTCTTACTTCTGGGTAAGTGGACAGACGCATTTTGAAGAACAGCAAGACTGCAGGTGAATCATTTAACATGATGCTGGATTATTGAGAGACCTCAGCAGGATTTTGCTTGCCGAAGAAATCCAATATTAATCGGCCAGATGAAAGAATGAGGGTTGTGTGTTGCAAGTTAATGAATTATATAATAAAAGTGACACAGGACAGAATATGATGGTTGATGGTGAGGAAAATGTGCTGGAGGGCATATTCCATAATTGAAGAACCAGATTCATGAACTTTCAACATCACCTCCTGTTAACACAGACCTTGAGGAACACCACACATGACAGTATGCTATTGTGGCCTAGTGCTGTTAAACCATAGTGACAGCCCAAATGTACACACAGGTGCAAAAACACAAATGCGCACCCACACACACACACAGACGTATATGTACAGACTGACATTCACCCATGCGCTGCTGGCACTTCACAGGTGTGAAGCCACATCCTGTCTCAAAGCACAGCTTTCCATGAGCTCAGATATGATACAGAGCAATCACTGTGTTCAAGTAAACACACTCACCAACAGACACTTTCATGTACAATACTCTCTCTCTCGCGCACACACACACACAGAAACACATGCAAATGCTTTCATGTTTAACTGTCTCCCTCAAACAAACGCACACACAAAGCAGTTGGTCCAGATAACATTCAGATTTTTTTATACTTTTTCTGTTATATTTATAAGAAAGGGATGTCTTAGATTTCAAAAACCAATTAGATAATTAGATCAATTTCACTTCAAGTCACCATGAAATCAAAATGTATGATTTTATTTATTAAATACTGCAGTGTTTATTATTTATTTCTCTGTGCACCGTATTTATTTATTTTTAATTCATGTGCACTGGTGCGAGGGCAGGACAAAAATTCCTCCCCTCCAGCAACCTGCCACTCACTGGAGGTCACGGCAAACGACAACAAACCAATAATTTCCCGATAGACAAAATCAAATCACACCCTACATTTTTTCTCATTCGAGAAGCAAGGAAGGAAAGATGATCACAGCTTGAGTTTCGACTTTGAGAAGCAAT